TCTCTCTCTCTCTCTCTCTCTCTCTCTCTCTCTCTCTCTCTCTCTCTCTCTCTCCTCTCTCTCTCTCTCTCTCTCTCTCTCTCTCTCTCTCTCTCTCTCTCTCTCTCCCTCTCTCCCTCTCTCCTCTCTCCCTCTCTCCCTCCCTCCCTCTCCCTCCTTCGTTCCCCCCTTCCCCTTCCTCCCCCTCCCTCTCCTCCCTTCCTCACCCTCACTCCCTCTCCCTCTCCTCCCTCCTTCTCCTCTCCTGTTTTTCTCTTTCCCTCTTCTTTCCTCCCCCTCCCCAGCTTAATATATAATATATGTATAGAGAGAGAGAGAGAGAGAGAGAGAGAGAGAGAGAGAGAGAGAGAGAGAGAGAGAGAGAGAGAGAGAGAGAGAGAGAGAGAGAGAGAGAGAGAGAGAGAGAGAGACCCAAAACAAAATCGTTTTAGGTAAAAGGTCCCCCAGCCCCTCACCACACGTGCATGGCAGTTTCCCCACGAGCATGCAGACAACATAACCATATCATTATGCTAATTAACGATGCCAGGTTGCTCCCACGTTTTCTAAATATTCTAATTATAGAAATAAGGAAGATGAAAAAACTGGTAAAGCAGTTTTACAATAACTCATAGACATAAGGAAGACAAAAAGAGATGGTAAAGCCATTTATGATAATTCTTTCGCTCAAATATGTAATCAAGCAGCACAAATTAAAAGCTATGATGATAATATAGAATTAAGATTTCATAACTTTTCTAAAACTTTTAAATATATACATTTTTTTAAGATTATTTTTTGCTTTTTATTTCTTTTTTTTTTTTTTTTAGTTATGCTCATACTTTCTTTAGACATCTTTTTTTTTTTTGGTTCTTATCTTTCTTTTTTTTTACTTATACTTGCACTTATACTTTTTTTCTAAAAAGTGCTCTGCAAGAAACAGCGTAAAGACTTTGTGATAGAAAGTGATTTTGATCGTTTGTGATAAGACTGATACCGAGCCGGTGTTTTAAATAGGCGAAAGAAAAAAAACAAATCTGATTGGTTGATTATAGGTAATGTAGTTGTTCAGAATTTGTCCCATAAATGAACGTGAACTAAAGTGAACACCCCGTCCAAAGTGATGATAATGATGGTAATAATAACAATGAGGATTATTAATAATTGGTGGTAATTATAATGATGGTAATAATAGTGTTTTATGATGATATTATAACCATTGATGATGATTATAATGATGGTAATGATAGTGTTTATGATGATATTATAATCGTTAAGATTAAGTGAGCATATTGTTCATATTAAATCGGTTACTAACTCTATAGGTAAGTAGATTTCATGTTAAAAAGAAATTGTCCTTAATAACATTTTTAAGTGTGATTATTAACCGTCCGATTAAAAGAAGAAAGGATATAATTTAAGGAATAATAAGAAAAAAATGACTGTCCAGTAAAACAAATTATAAAATTAGATTTCATGTTTTAAAAAATCCTTAATGACATTTCTTAAGTGTGATTATTAACCGTCCGATATAAAAGAAGAAATACATATAAATTAATGAATGAATCAAAAAGTAGATTAATCGTCCAATAAATTATAAGAAAATATTCTAAATATCAAAAAATTGCCTTTAAAATGCGATAGGATCTTCCGTGAAACTAAAAAAAATTTCTTTTTTTATAATAGATTTTTTTTTTATCGTTTTTTATGGTCATTGTAATCGAAACCGCATTTTCTTAATATTAATTTCATTCAATTATTTGGTGAATAAGTATTTTACAGCTGTCTATGACGTTGTTTTGGAAGAATTGTTAATTAAAATATATATGAAACCGTATATAAAATTTTCTTATTAATTGTAAGGTAAAAAAATAGTCTTAAGAATATTGGCTGTTGAATTTCTGCGTTAAAAATAAATGTTAAGAATAATTATTAAGATTCCAAATGGCCTTTTCTTCACTAAATTAGTTCTACTATAGTGGTTATTATTTTACAAATGCAATTCTGTATTTTTAAAAAGTCGAATATCTTACCAAGATGCTCTAAATGTATACAATATAGCTTAAGATTTATTATATCAATATCTTGATTATTGTTAACTTTCTTTTCTTTTTCTTAACGAGTTTCTTACCAAGAGCTTGATTTAGCTACTTAAAAAAAATACATGAATATTATCAAAAAAGTGTATCTTTAAAATTGTTACATAGCTTCTTTGGCTATTATATAATTTTATATTGTAATTCTGTTTTGATTACCACAAAAAAATTGTTGATAATAATGGGCTAATGATATACACACAAAACCATTATAACTAATGTTATTAACAAGTCTTGATATGTTTGCTATTAGTAAATTGCTATTATATCAAAGTGGCCTGTGTGTGTGCGTGTGTGCGTGTGTGTGTGTGTGTGTGTGTGTGTGTGTGTGTGTGTGTGTGTGTGTGTGTGTGTGTGTGTGTGTGTGTGTGTGTGCGTGTGTGTGTGTTGTGTGTGTGTGTGTGTGTGTGTGTGTGTGTGTGTGTGTGTGTGTGTGTGTGTGTGTGTGTTAATGTCCGTACATGTTAGCACAGTTTGGCCAATACAGTATTAATGCTATCAAAATGGCAATTATCTGCTTGAAATTATGCCCGTCTAGAGAACCTTCTAGAAGTATGGTTATGTATATGTAAATATATATTTTTTTTTTTTCTTTCTTTCTTTGTGAACTCATGATTATATTATGAAGAAATGACTGTGATTGCAATAACACAAATTCTGTAATGCTTTGTATTTATCAAACATGGAATTTCCTTTTATTTAATAGTTATTTTTCTATTTATTTTAGTTTTTCCATTTATTTTTTATATAAAGTGAATTATTACCTTGTATAATCAATATGAAATTTTGCATTCTTTGGAGTGATAAAATATGGGCATGTCATGTAAGAATAAAATCTGATATTGATAACATGAAATAGAATTATTATTTTTTCTACTCTATCTGTACTCGCAATGCAGGTTAAGCTCAAATAATATAAATGATTAACACGTTGTTATAGTTATGTTTGCGGGTGCTAGCCAAGTTTAGTAGATATATGTGAATTTATTTAACAATTTGCTTTTCCTGAAGATACTGAAGACTGTATGAATACACTGATACAAAGATGTATTATTTCATGCTTGTAGCAGTCTAGTAGCAGCATGTGATATACATATTATTTTTCTTTTTTTTTAATTTTGTATTTTAAGATTACTGTCTCGGAGATGGTGGAAAATATATCTGTATTAATAGCTAGATTTATGACTTTTATCCATGTGAACTAAATTGACAGGTTAGATTTAGCTAGATTTAAGGTTATTTCTGGAAGTTTACAGAATTATGCAGATATTGGGAGAAAAATCATATTACTTAAGACCACCATCTCCGACATATCACGTTTTCTATACGCACATCAAATAAGAAGCCTTTCCCGTTTTCTCTTATTAATATGTTGTTGATTGTTCGAAAGAAAATGAAAAAAATAGACGTGGGAATTTCTATGTAAATAAAATGATACTGATAAAGATTGCATTTTGATTTGCCTGTATATGTGTGGATAGAATATATATATCCTTGAATAATAAATGATTGTGTTTGTTTTAAGATATTTGTATATGACTAAATAGGCAAAATGTTTTGCGCAAAATACACACACCACACACCACACACACACACACATATATATATATATAATATATATATATATATATATATATATATATATATATATATATATATATATACATTTATTTATTTTTTTTTATATACATATTTATCACGCTCAAAATGAATCAGAGTCGCCGCCCGAAAAGGTGATGCATGTACCTACACTGGTTATATTTAAAGGGAATGCGAGATCTCAAACCGTGCCCAATCGCCTCTACTCAATCATAGCCTCCCATAGCACCCTCGATCATCTCCCTAACCCGTTCCGTTGTTTAGGAGTGTTTAAGGGGTCTATAAGGGGTATACGAGTACTCAAACCATATCCATTTTTGTTTACTCTGTGATAGCTTTCCATAACACCCTGGATCACCTCTGTAACCCTTGCCGTTGTTTAGGGGTGTATTTAAGAGGTCTATGAGGGGTCTATAAGGGGTATGAAAATTTTCATACCGTACCCAGTCTAATTTAGTAATTTCCTCACACTGTGATAGGTTTCCATAGCACCCTAGGTAAACCTGCAACCATGTCCTGTTGCTTCAATATTTAAGCGGTATTTTAAGGGGTTTTCGCGTCTGATGCGCCCAAGAACTCCCCCCAACTCCTTGTGGTTGCTGAGAAAGTGAACTTAAGTAGGTCTCTGGTTATGGTTTATGGTTTTCCAGTATGAGTTTCCTTAATATATATATATATATATATATATATATATATATATATATATATATATATATATATATATATATATATATTACTTCAATGTTACCAACTTATGTATCCATTTTTTTGTATTTGAACCAGTGATAATAAGAAAGCGCTACTGGCAATAGTAATATTGATTATAATTAAGTTGTGTTTTTATATATTCTCTATGTATGTATTAAAAAAAATCTTATAATACTAAAAATCTATGCGAATATATACACGCACATATACATTATATATAATATAATATAATATACATATATATATATATAAATATAATATATAATATATATATATATATATATATATATATATATATATATATATATATATATATATATTATATATAATATATATATTATATATATATTATATATTATATATATATATATATATATATATATATATATAATATATATATATATATATATAATATATATATATATATATATATATATATATATATATATATATATATATATATATATATATATATATATATATATATATATAATATATATATATATATACATATATATGTACATGTGTGTGTGAATAGAACTATGGTAAAAGTAGTAATAAGAATAACAGAAAAGTTAATTAATTCCTTTATATCAAAAGATGTAAATACACGAGAGC